CCAGCGTGCGCAAAATAGAACAAATACAACATTCTAGCACAAAATGTGACTTTGTGATTACTTGAGAAACTACCACGCCAGCAGACAACTTAGTCCTCACAAATGTCAGCAATGCGCTATAACTGTAGCAAATTCCTTCGGGGTTTATCAAGAGGTTTTAGATAAGTATTGTAACAACCCTCACAACAAGTTCAAAGACAACTCAAAAGTATTTTCAAATTATAAAAATATTATCAAGAAATAGAATGGAAGGAAAGCATAGTCCACCACAAAATACTCTTGACAGTGTAAAGCTGTCCGGTGTTCCATTTGTGAAGCAGTTGATATGTATTTGCCGCAACGGTGCCGGAGTTAGGAAATGCGTTTGCGTGCATGTGGCGATGGTGGGCGTCTCGTGGATCTGGTTTATTTTAGATACCGAAGGGCTCCGCTTCGTCGAGAATGCGAGGAATGTTTAAGCGAAAACCGCATCTTCACTAAATTCTAATTATGAGCAGGAACAAGAATACTATAAGCAAGGTAAAGCGGACCACGAGTGGCTCGGGGAAGCGTACAGAAATAATGTAATGTGTGCATGATCAGTTGTAAGCTATAACCACAGACGTTTTTTGTAGTAGTCCAATTTTTCACCATCTGGGATGTGCAGTGTGTAGAGATATCAAACTGGTTTATTATCTGCGCCACTTTCACCGGCCGGATCAGCTTCATGGGTGTTGTGCTGATTGCGATAGGTTTGTACTGGCAGGAAGCCAGGCTGGTGATCAGTGGTCATTATATTTTTTATGAAGAAATATCTACCAGATAACTTGTGTAATATAAAATCATATTAATGCCAGGGAGAATAAAGGAACCCAAATATCATCCTTGAGACCATGCATTGCCATGTTTGGTAGCTCTGGTAACACTTCTGGAGAAATGCCACCCTTCAGATGAAAATGTAAGGCCAGATTTGGGTACCTGGCCTCACATTAAATATCAGGTTTCCAACATTTTACCTTTCTCTGTAGCTTGAGCTTCTTATGTATTATGGCTACTGTTACTGCATTGTTATATTAGCCAATTTTTTTTTTGCTTCATTTGGAGGTTATTTTTTTTGTCTTTTATGTTGGCTGTATGTGCACATGGCCAAAGTGATATTCTGTAGATTTTGTGGCAAAATTGTTTTTGCCAATAACTGCACATCTGGTTTCAATATTAAGGACATGGTAAAGCATTGGCATATCATGGCATAAGATTGGCATTAGTTTGTAAGCATATATTTTATTGATTAGGCATGCCAAATCATCATCACAAATAAGTTAACATCATGGTTGGGTTGCCAGGTGAGTACACCACATATGAATATAATTAATTTGGCTTCTAACTAGTTGTTCATGGAGACACCATTGCATTATTGCCAAGTTAGGGCCTACAAAATATTGTGTGCAAATGAGTGACACCAGAATTATCTTGATGTGCTACTCTTTGCATGCATTAGGAATTTGGTGGTCTTCCTTATGCCATATAATATGATAAATGGTATCTCACATCACTTTAGGATATTTCTGTGATGATAGAGATGGGAGGAATGGAAACCCAGAATTGCCTCTACCTCATTAGGACATGATTAAAATATACTCGCTTATCATAATGGTCCAGAACAGACACATATGTAAGGCCATGTGTTTCACATGTCAAGATTGTATTTGCATAGTTGTATGGGAGTTGTGCATTTTAGCATAGCATAACCCGAAATACATGTTGTTCCTATAATAATCAGAAATAAAGAAAGAGATCAAAGTAGCTATCATTGACACAAAGTTTAATAACCTACATATTTTAGCAATGCTATTGTGTTGCATGTATTTGATATTTAGTGTTCAAATGTGAAGCCTATCAGTCATGATTTAAACAACATGAACATTGCTATGACCTTACTGTTGTTTTAAGTACTAATAGCAACAAGGACAAATAGGTTAGGTGGTACCTGCATATTGCTCACTAAGCCTGGCAAAGCTGTGATAGCATACATTAAACATGAAATATTTATAATCATCAAAAGTATAGAACTTTGTTGATTTCCATAAATTGTCTAAGTGATGATCAGGGCTGTGCATAAGTATGTTGCTTGACAAGAGCAAGAGATGCTTCCCTTAAGCTTTTACATATTTTGCCAATCATACTCACATTCTCCATTGCATATTGTGCTAGCATTTAAAGCCCAGCAAGTGAAATATATGAAATACATATGAAATATAGTATGTATAAATAATATGTATAAGGGGAATGCTTGTAAACAGCATGTATCCATGGCTCAGCCAGATGTCTGCTAATAACATCAGCTGTAATGAGGAGCTTACATGCCATAAGGTCATAAGCTTACATGCCAAGAGGCTACTATACTCAGTGTTGTTCGCACATTCATATGAATTTCCATGCCCATGCCCTGGTATTGCTGAATTGTTCACAAACTTAAGTGGAAGCAATGCACTGCAGATATTATCTATGTGTTTTTGTGTGCAGATAGTTCAGTGATAGGCAGAAATAGTGATTGTACAATAGTATGCTCAGTACTATAAAAGTACAATGGTGTACTTCCTTTACATAGCTGACATAAGGTAGTATGTAAAAAATAAGTGACTTAAATGTGCTATTACTGACAATGTCACTAAGCCATGTAGAACAGTGCAGCATTATTTTAGACTCATCAGTTGTACCATGGTGAGCCATGTTTTATTTAGCTTATGAACAATGCCATTGTTCACTGCAATGGCTATGTTGTTTTATTGGTGCTCTTTTTGTGAAGATCTGTCAATGTCAGGGAGGGCTTTTGACCTAGTTCTTGAACTTTGACTTGCAATTAAGTGATCACTGTTTAGTATGCACTTTTTTAAACTGTTTCATCAATTAGATTAAAAAGGCCTCATGTGACAAATTTCTGCTAAGTCATTATTTTCATAAAGTTCCATTTGAGTTTCAGGCACCAGTGTGGCATGTGTTCACATGCCAGCTTTTGGGTGAACCATGTGCAATATAATGTCTGTGATGGATTAATGAGCTATGATGTTTTTCGTGAAGGAGGTGGAGAAGAGCCTGGACAACATGCAGCCTGCTGATTTTAAGTCCCTGCTTGTTGAAGTCATGAACTACAAACACACTGGTGACATGCAGGGCAAGTCTCCACTCGCACAGGTACTGCATGACATGATGATTCAGTTGATGTCTGGTTGATGAAGTTTCATGCATCAGCACTTGAAATACCATTTATGTAAGTTTAAGTCTTCATGTGGTGCTTGTCTTCAGTTTTTATTGAGGTATTCAAATTACCAAGATCAAATTACCATCACAAATTACCAGATTACCATCAAAGTGCTGGCGGAAAATGAAATTAAGCGCCACACACTGAAGTTGTGCTTCAGGGGCTGTGAGTTTTTTTTGAACAGGACACAGTTCCCAGCAAAGGTCACTCAGCTGCTGTCATGTTGTAGTCAATATATGCCACCTCATCCCTGCTGGTTGGCACAGGTTTCAGTACTACCTCTCCCCATGTGTTGTGCTCTGTGTTACCGTCCGGCCGACGTAGGTCATGCTCAAGGCGGCCGAAGAGAGCGAGTCTGGCGAAGAGAGCATCAAGCGGCCGCCCAAGCGACACAAGGTGAAGAAGCCCAAGGAGCGTCGGCGCCGGCGCGAGAGCGACAGCCTGGCGGCACGCACGCACGCCGGTGGCTCGCTGGACAACATCGCCGGCGACAAGGCGCAGACGGGCGGCCGGCAGCGCGGCGTGGCCGCACGCACACGCGAGGGTCAGTGCTGAGCGCCGCGCAGGGCCGCGACGCCGAGCTGGTGGGCTCGGATGGGCGACTGGTGTCTCGGCACCGAAGGCTGATGTACCGGTTCGGCGCCAGTTAGGACATGTGGGCTGCTGTCTGGAATGGACTCCGGCTTAAACAGACGGCCTCACTGTTGGCGTGACCATCTCCCAGGTGTCTCGGGGGCAATGGTGAAATGGGCGAGCTCACTAAAAAAGATACGTGGACAGTTGCGCATGCTCTTCCGGTTGATTTACTAGCTCTGCTTCCCAGGTGTTTTTGCATCAGGCGGTAATAATTTGGCCAAATTTGGCCCTTGGCATAAGTGTTATGGCAAGGTGGTATGTCGTAATGCTGCTTTCACTGCAGCACCCTTTTTTCCATAGTATGAAGAGCAAAGACAAAGCGCACAAGCGCTTACCATGCAGCTGTCATGTTAGGTGTGGACACTGTTTGTAGCCAAATTTTGGGCTCATTCTATTGTGGATATGTTTGGTGTGACTAATTCCTTGAAAGGGTTGTGGAAAGGTGCTGATTGGATCGCATTGATGGCTGCTGTGCCATCCTCCCTGATGTACACTCTATGGTTCTATTCGCCAGTCCATCTGCTTCATGCTGTGCTAATTTAACAAGACTTCGCCTCTCACATGGATCGTAAAGGGGCGAGTGCCACTTGGGGTGCTCACAACTGCAACAAGCATTTTGATTGTGGGGAGATTGGAAAGATATCTCATTTTGCGTCGCGTCCTGAGCGAGAAGCAGTTGGAGAACTGTTCTGGTGGGCTTTGCTCCTGTGGCAGACCCACTCGCCGTGTTCGAGGTCGCGATGTCGAGCGGTTCGCCCGGCCCGTCGGTCCTCCACACGGCTCTTCTCTGCTGCTGGCAGGCGGCTCCTGCTGCAACCTGTCGCGCGGCTCGTTCGAGACGACGGTGGCGCGGCGGCGGCGGCGGCGAGACCCGCACCGCCAGCACGGCGCCTCGCTGGAGGACCTGAGCGCCATCGACGAGGCGTCGGCGGGCGCCGGCCGAGCCAAGTCGTCCGTGTCCGAGTCGGCCAAGCACGGCGGCAGCCTGCAGAACATCAACCAGGAGGGCGGCGCCGGCGACTTCCGCGCGCCGGCCGAGCAGGCGGCCGAGGCCGGCGCCGGGCGCGCGCCCGTCATCGAGATCGACGGCGAGGAGGCGGCGGCGGCGGCGGCGCGTCCGTCGGCGCGCAGCCGGGCCGAGCCGGCGGCCGAGGGCGCCGCGCCGCCCCCTTCCCGCGAGGAGGCGCCGCAGCGCGCTGACGCCACTGTCGACTTCCCGCTGAGGCTGGATCAGGTGGGGGGCGCGGACGCCCGGGCGGAGGCGGACCGGTGACGCCTCCTCCGCTCACGAACGTCTGGCAGGACGTCGCACCGTATAGGCTGTGATGGTTTTTCGTGAACCACATCTGCATTGTGATGCGCACCGCTTGTGTCTTGCTGCGCCGTCGGAGCGCCATGTCGTCTGACCACGGGTCCTCAGTTGTGAGTCGCCTTGGAATGGGCTGCTGCCTGACCACGGGTCCCCAGCCGTGAGCCGCTTGGGAATGGGCTGCCGTCTGACCATGGGTCCCCAGCCGTGAGCCGCCTGGGAATGGGCTGCCGAGGCGTCCTCGTTTGTTCTGGCTGGTGTACTGCTCATCATACACTGTCCAGGCCGATTCCTGGCCGCCTTTGACCTGAAGCGCCGACCGTTGTCGAAAAGCATGCCTCTGGCTAGATCGCCCCGGATTCAGCGAGGTGCCGTCCCGGGGAAAACGTGCTGTCAGATGTGCTGTCCTCCATGATTTGTGTTTCGCGTCACATGGCTCGCGAAATTATTGTAGTGAGGCATTTGTGGTGTGTGTAACTTCCTTTCAAGTATCCTTATTTCCAGAACAACAATTCCTGTGAGCATCGCTCTACTGACTGATGGACAGTTTCTGTTCAGCTTTGCTCCTGGTGTAGTGCACTCTACCATAGCGGCTGTGTATATCCCGACCTACTACTGATGCGACATCCTCAGCAGTAACTTTACAAGCTTTGTGCGCCCCAGTCCCCCCGTGATGTGGTGTCCCCCTCCGTCCCATGTGTCGCACCGTGCCGGCCGTGACGCCCGTCTTTCGGCCGGCCGGCAGCGTGTGGCGCCGTACAGCACCCCGGTAGACCTAGCCAGCGTGGCACGCAGCGTGAGCACCCTGCTCTGCAGCTCCAACAGCCAGGCGGCCAGCTACACGGCTGAAGAAGTGCGCGACATGCCGGCCGGTATGTGTATGGCCGCAGGCTGGTACGTGTGTGGCTGCAGGCTGGTAGGTGTACGACTGCGGGACAGTAGGTGTACGGCTGCAGGCCGGTAGGTGTACCGCTGCAGGCCGGTACGTGTACAGCTGCAGGCTGATACGTGTACCGTTGCAGACTGATACGTGTACCGCTGCAGACCGGTACGTGTACCGCTGCAGACCGGTTCGTGTGCGGCTTCAGGCCGGTACATGTACCGCTGCAGGCTGATAATGTACCGCTGCAGACCGGTGCGTGCACCGCCGCAGACCGGTTCGTGTGCGGCCACAGGCCGGTACATGTACCTCTGCAGGCTGATACGTGTACCGCTGCAGACCGGTACGTACACGGCTACAGGCCGGCCCGCGGCTCGGGGCGGACCGCTGAGCGGGCTTAGCTGCTGCTGACCGCGGCCGGCCGCGCCCTCTCTGACGCCGGGCCGGTTGTGCTCCTCCGACGTGGAGGTACTGATTTGGTTGGAAACTTGGAAGGGGCCGTTGACTTGTGATCGTTGTGTAGACTGAGCAATGTTCGCATGTTGACACGGCTTACACTTGCGCGAGCGTGTTAACGACCGGCGTGCTAGCCGAGCGGCGGGTCTTGTGATGGCAAATTGCTCGTCAAGAGAACGGTTGCATCGTTGGGAGCCGACTGATTTATTTGGAATTATTGAATGAGGGAAGGCCTATGCCGTTTTTCCTGGACCAAAAATATCGACCAACGCTCGCACGGCGGGCTGTGTTGGAATCGCCTTCATTTGCGAGTGCAGAGCACGTTGGAAGTATTGTAACACTTCTGCCAAGCTGTGCTGGTAACTAGCCATTGAAAATTCGCTGACTGTAAAAGCCATTATTTGTCACACAATGTGGTTGTATTCCTGCATGGATCCTATTGAAATGCATATAAATATAGCTATGTTTGGCTGAGCGCAGGACGTTTTTTGCGCGCTTGCATCACTTTCCATCGCATCATTTGTCTTATCTGATCTTGTACGGGCCCTGTGACTGGAGTCTTGTTTTGATTTCTTGCGTTACAAAATTATTTATTGGAAGTTGCCCCGGAAGGAGCTTTACATTTGGGCGTTATCCGGTGGTAGGATTGCGAGAAGACAGGATATTTGGATAGTCTTTTGCTGAGTGAGGCCTTTCGCCTGTAGACTTCACTTGAGCCTTGCTCTGAGCTGAGCGTTCAAAGTCGGCTCGCCCTCGACTTTCCGGCGTGAACTGTGCTGAAAGGCTTGGGAGGTCGTGTAAGTTTCGGCCATTTCAATGCTCGCCATCTGAACCCGGTCGGTTGGCTGTTCGGGCCGCGGGCGACGTCCGTATTCTCTGGCCGCCGGCGACCAATCTTCAGCTTGTCAGGTATGCGAACCGCGCAGTGTGTGACCGCGCCGTGACCTGTTGCAGGCGAGCCGCTGACCGGGTCACGTCGGACTCAGGTGAGACAGGGCCGACTGAGACTGAGACGGGGTGCTGCCAGCACGACGACCGCGGCCGCCGACTGGGCGCGCCAAGTCGCCGCGCCGGCTCCGCGCGATATAGCCGGGGGATGGGATCTCGCTTAATAGAGCGCGTGCCTCAGGATGGAATGTGGCGCCAGATATTGGCGCCGGCCACAGCGTTCTCCGATCAGGAACACTCCACTCTTTCACATGCCTCGCATAATCTGTTCATTGCGATAAGGTATTGCCCTGTTTTGTACATTGATGTCCTAAACCCTCCAGTTCTCGTGGAAGGTAAGTTGACAGGTCCACAGCCTCTCTGTATGCATAACGGGGGCGTTGGCCGTTAGCTGGAGTGGGTTCCAGTCAGTGCGAAACCGATTACTGAGTGCGGTCCGCGCCAGCCGGGTCCGGTCTGGGCGGGGCGGCCCAAGGTCCGCCCCGGCCCGCCACGCCGCCGCTATTGACCGGCGAGCGGTGCCCGCCGCCGGCGGAGCGACGCAATATCCGGCCGGCACCGTCTCCTGGCGACTGCACGGCCCGGCTGTGACGCCCTCCGGACTGCCGCCGGCGGCGGGGTGGGGGCGGGGCTGGTGGCGGCCGCCGGCGGTCGGCGCGTCGCGTCGCGTCATGAGCCTGGACGATCACTGAGCCGGGCCGGGCGGAACTGGCTGCTGCCAGTGGCCGACCTGCCGCTCCGACGGCCGGACCTCCCACGCCCAGCGGGACGTCCGGCCGCCGCCACCAGGACGGCGGGACTCTTGTTGCGCTGCTCTCAGTCGATGGCCGCGAGCGTTCGGTCGCCACACCCGGCTCTGGTCTGTCTCGCCGTGATCGCCAGTCCCGTGAGACGGTCCGGGGTCGCCTAACCTGACCTGACCCGAGCCGCTGCCCGTCCGCCAGCCACCCGACAGCGGCGGCCCGGCCGGCCCGGCAGGCGGCGCCGGCCCCGGCCTGGCCAACGGTCAGCGACACGGTTCGGCCACCACGCAAGCCGTCGGCCGCGCTCGCAAGCACAAGAAAAAGGTTGGTCGGAGGCAGACGTGTGCTCCATCCCAATGTTGGATCCAGGATTCCATAGCGATCCATGTTAGTCGGATCCTGGGATCTTTTGGGGGGCTCCAGGCACATGTCTGGTCGGAGGCACACTGCGTTTCTCGCGCCTCCGGGGCCGCGAACTCCAGGTTCCCGTAGCTGCAGACCCGGGACTGCAGCCAACGCCGCACGGTTGAAAAGGTCATGCAACAAGCTTAAACGCTCTTCAGCCGTCTTTTTCGGAGTCGTTTGCGTGGCTTCTAATAATTCGTACATGCACAATAATGACTGGGCCTGCGCACAAAATGCACGTAACCATTTCGTGCTTTGTACCGGAGTTTGTTCGTTGCGAACGAGCTTTTAACGAAATGGGCTTGGCGTTATTGATAACGTTTGTAGTAAGTCCTTGTCCCATGTCACATCATTAGTTTATTGCGCACATCACCGTATAAATTGCGCGGTGACCATTGAGTGAACAGCGCGCAGTGAGCACCAGCACTCGCGGATATCGTAAACGAACTAGCCGCGTAGCTTGGGAAAGGTTGGATTATATGAACAGGATATGGTAGAATAGGCAGGATGGATAGGGTAGCATAGGCTATATGGATAGGTGCGATACTAGCCCGCGGTAGTTTTGCCTTGGGTCAGGCGTGATGTGGGACGAGTACGTTGGCTGTTTCGGCGCCAGCCCGGCCGGGCGGCGTCTGCGCTCTCCGGTCTGTGTCCAGCCGTCGGCCTGGCCTGCTGCAGGAGGAGCCGCAGGTGCTGACGGAGACGGTGGACGGCTACCGGGGCAACGACGACTTCGACACACTGATGGGCTTCATCGAGTCCAGCGACAAGAAAGACAAGAACGGCAAAAAGTCGGACAAGAGCGGCAAGAAGGAGACCAAGGGCCGCAAGAACGGCGTGCGCGGTGAGGAGGACCGCGCCGGCGGCCGCGGCTCGGAGCGGCGGCCGGCGGCGCGTGCCGGCAAGGCCGCCCCAGCCGGCCGCAGCAGCAGCCTGGAGGCGCGCTCCGGGCCAGCGGCCGCGGCCGCCGGCTCGGCCGCCGCCGCCGCCGCCGCGCACGCCGACGCCACCAGCGTCTTCTGCGGCGACCTGGCCAAGTCCAGTCTCAAGAAGAGTGAGTCGTGCGGGCCGCCGCCGTCGCCGGCTGCGGCGGCGCCGCCTACGATCCACGCCGGCGATGGCGTTGCGTACGTGAGCGCGCCGGCTGTCGACCGCGAGAGCGATGGCTTCGTGCAGGACTTCTACAGCGTCACCACCGACTCGAACGCCATCGAGGAGACCGAGTTTCACGTGGTGACGCGCCGACAGCGGCGGCGCGGTGCCGGCACCAGCGCGCGCGGCGCCGGCGATGCGCCACGGCCGCAACCGCTGCGTCACAAGACGGGCAGTCTGGACGAGAGCGCGCGCGCCCGCCACGACTCGCTTGGGCAGCCGCGCCGGCCGCAACCCCGGCCCGGCCTGCGGTACGCCACCTCGTCGAGCGCGCCTCACTCGGAGCTGTCCGACAGCGACAGCGACGGCGCGGCCTCCGCGCCACCGCCGCCGCCGCTGCCGCCGCCGCCACCTCCGCCACCTGCACCGCCGTGCCTAGCTGAGCCGGGCGACGGGTCGCGGTGCGCGCGCGACTCGCCGCCGCCCGTCGCGGCGGCGGCCGCCGCCGCCGGCTCCTCGTGGGCGGACGTGACCCGGCGACAGGAGAGCCAGCCGGCGGCGGTGCCGGGGCGGATGCGTGACGCCGAGACGTCCACCGACTTTATAGACGGCGTGGGCCCGATCTTCGGCGAGCGGTCGTCGCCCAAGGGCCGGCCGGTGGCGGCGGTGGCGGCGTTCGTGCGCGGCGCGTCCGAGCCGGCTGACGGTCTGATCGGCGGCTCACACCCGGACGAGTTCCCTGAGATCGAGCCGCCGCCGGCCGCCGCCGCCGCCGCCAAGGCGTCCCGCCCGCCCGCGCCCGGACCCGCCGCCGCCGCCGCCGCCGCCGCCGCGCCCGTACTCGCGCCAGCTCCGGCGGCAGCTCCGGCACCCGCGCCGGCCCGCGGCGCGGCCCCGGTTGCAGATCACGCGGCAGCCTCGGTGGCCGCTCTCGCGCCGACTGCCGTGCCGGCCGCGGCCCAGTGTCCGAACCCGGCGGGCTCGCCTCGTGCGCCGCCGGCCGACGCGAAAAGTGCAATACCGTGTTCGCCCGCCAGCGCGGGACGATCGGTGGCCGGGCGGCCCAGTGACGCCGCCAACTGCGCTGAGGCGCGGCCGGCCGCCGTCCAGCAGCCGCCGGCGCCGGCCGCGCGCCGCGCCAAGAAGGCGCCGGCCGTCATCATCCGCGAGACGCTCGAGGGCGGATCGCCGCCGGCCGCCAGTGCGCACGTGCACGGCATACGGTTCGGCTACATCGACACCAGCGAACAGGAGCTGCTGGAGGCGGCCAGGGGCGCTGCCGTGCCGACGCCAGCGCCGTCTGCCGTGGATGTGTTCTGTGGGCGCTTCCGGCCGCCGATAGTAGATGTCTCGCGCTTTAACTGGAGGGAAATCGTCGTCTTCCTTTCGAAAGGTGAGTGTTAGTAGCAAGGTGAGGTCGAACCGCAAAATGGTAAGACCGACAGCGTGGCAGGTATCAAGCACGTGTGCCCCGTTGAACCAAAGACCTCGTCTTGCATATTTCCAACATATTGCCCCTTTCACTTGCATGATTTTTTGCTTAATTCGTGGTACATCATTACGATAGCTTGTTGGTTGTTGCTTCCATGAGAACAAATTATGTATTGCAGTGGAGGCACGTAATTTATGCAGACATTACTAATGCTGGCATTTGTGGTTATTACAAGGCTGTGTCTGTGCTGGCGCCCGAGTTATGTGTTTTGCTTTTAATGCCACCCTTTGGGCACATGTATAACTGAAATGGAATTGGTGTGTTATGCTGTGGAGTAATCTCTTGAAACTGATGCGCAAAAAGGGTAAGATTGTACCTGTTTTGCTATACTGTTCGACGAAATGGTGCGAGAAAGTTTAATTTTGACAATGGCCATCCAGTATCACCACGTTGTCGACAAACTCGGGTCCGATCTATTATGCTCTTGTCGGTTTGCCAGGCTGTTGTGATGGCTGTGGAACTTGACCCCGGTGGAAGATTGTGACATTTAACGGGCACTGACACGATCTTGCCGTGCAGACGTTTGAGACCGAGGCCATGCCTTGGCCTTAAATGTCTGCACGCGTTCTGAATTCTGCCTTGGATCCGGTAAAGAGTTAAACCTCGCAAGTCAAACGTAAAAGTTGCAAGTCCCGATGGCCGACATTGCCATTGTTTCCTCCGAATGTACCGGAAGGTACCCGAAAGCGAAGGAAACGAAGCACAGATGGAATAGCTATTAACCGTCCTCCCAGGCCCCCGCTGACTCTTGCATGCTAGTGTTACTGCAGTGTGGTACTTAACCGGGGTGTGGTGCGATCATGGTAGACCGGATAAATCAGACAAGTGTGGTTAGTGTGCCTGCACTTCAACGCAATGGTGTGGCGAGAGCGACTGTTTCGGCCGCAGACTGTCAACAGGTAGCATCAGGTGGCATGTGACCTGTTGATGACCTGCGGCCAAAACCTGGCTGTTCTGGCGCCTACTGGCCTCGCCAGAACGCGACTATTGAAATGCCATGGATTATTTTTAGGGCACGTATGTCTTGTAATCTGACATGTTTGCCATCTAATGTTTGCCATCTAAATGTCAGCTAAAACCAACGTGCCCTAGACGGGCGATGTGGGAAGAAGTGAAAAAGTTCAGCATTTAGACTCTAAGCGAGTATTTTTCCCGTGCGGCATCGTTTTCCATGCCTGCCAGCGCTGCGGCCCTTATTGGTGATGATCTTGAACCGTTATAAGTCAGATGGTCGTGAGCGCTCCCGTCAGAGGCGGAGTTCCTTTGCACGTGATGACCCTCGGACTGGTCCCTTGGTGAGCCATACTGACTGCTTTTTCGCGCTCGATGACGCCTCGTAGGCGCAGAGTTTCTAGGCAATCTCTAACATCGCGCCATTATGACAATCCCAGCCGATGCTTTTCCAGTCCGCGGACTGGTATTATTCCCATGATGCCGCGACTTATCTAACAGGCCGGCACAAAACAAGAGATTCCAGGCTGGCCTTACAACATGCATGGCTCTTTAATGCTATTCGTGGTTAGTTGGTCGTGATGTGATGTTCAATGCTATTCGTGGTTAGTTGGTCGTGATGGTTAGTCGATGTCAGCGATGTCGTGACTTTAACCTGAGGACGACCACTTTAGGGTGTGACGATCATAACATGATATATTTAAGACTGGTGAAGCAATATGCCCTAACGACACTTTCAGATAAGATGCCTCAGCAGTGTGACAAGTATTGACATGCATGGTGGGGCGTGTCATGTCCAGAGGCTGGCCGTGCCCGGCTGTCATGGCTTGGGGCTACGTCCTGTCTGGGATCGGCCGCTAACAGCCGGTCGTGTGGCTGCAGCGTACGAGGAGGCGGCCGCGGACCCGTCCGCCTTCCTGGTGGAGAACGGCCGACCACCGCCGCGGCCGGCGCCCTGAGCCGGCCGTGCGCCGCTGTGATCCGAGAGACGGGGCGCCGCGGCGCGCCGAGAACGCCGCGCATCGGACGGCGTGCCACTCAGAGCTGTGCCCGTGGACGAGTGCCAGAGAGCGTGTAGGTATGTGTGCCGTTCGCCGCCGCGCGGGGCTCTGCGGTGATTGTGATCGAGGACGCCGGCCGTCGCGCAGTGCGTGGGATGGCGGGCGCACGCCGCCGCCGCCGTCCGCACGGGCCGTCGCGCGAGAGCGGCCTCCGTCGTTCCGTGGGCACCGGTCTCATCGTAGCGCCTCCCCGAGCGGCGGTCTGCCGGCACCACTCCCAGCCGGGCGCCTACCTGAAGTGAACACTCCCAGCCGGGCGCCGGTCTGGAGCGAACACTCCACCCGACTCGACTATCCAACCGCGCTTGTGTCCCAACGCGTGTCCAGTGTCGTCTTCACAGCCGGCACGTGGATCTTCTCCCCCCCCCCTCGTGGACTCGGCCCCCCCCCCGCCGTCAGCTCCTCTGTATACCCCCCCCCCCCCCCGGCGCCCTTCCCGTTGCACCGCCCCCGCGCGCCCAGCCGTCCATCTCTACACCGGTTCTGGTCGTTCACCCGTTGTACATGGGCGCCCCATCCCGCTGTGCGCCGCTGCCTGAGCGCTGGGCTGCCGACTCGTTCTGTCGCGCTGCTGTCGGCATGGTCCAGGCGCCAGCACGGGGCCTGCCACCAGCAGCAACGCCTCTCTCCTTCCCCATGGTCCATGACAGAACGCAGTCAGCTGGCGGAAGCCCAGGCTGGTCCCTAAATGTCCTCTGGTCCCTAAATGTGTGTTGTTTTTTGTACGTCCGCCGCCGGCCCGCCTAAGTTGTGTTCAGATGATGTGCACCAGTTTGGTTTTATGTTGCTTTTCTGAAATTTGGAACGTGAATAAATATCGCATAATGTTTGGTTTTGTCCGGCGGCATGTTTTTCGTCGCACGTCAATGCATGATAGGACAATGCAATGTCCCAGGTTATGTAGGACGCCATCTACCGATACATGCACAATATTCTCATGAAATCCCTATTTCAAGACTCTAGGATTTCCAGAAAGTTTTAACAAGATATTGTTTATATATCACCGGATAGTTACAAGAAGTAAAACCGTGACGACCAGGACAGCAGTCGCTATCATCCGTCAGTCACGTTAATCCGTCATTGTCTCGATACCATTGTTGAGGTATCAGGACACGTCCTTACACGATGGAACAAGGCTACGTTTAACAAACATGGTATGGTTATATTACCTACATCGTTCATGGCGAGGAAGTTAATGGACATGGTTAACACAATCCAGCACAAGCACATCTCCCTGTGCAGACAGGTCAGTTTAAAAAAGATAACGAGACGAAAGATGTTTTAGACTGGATAAAAAAGCTTTCATATAATTGTAGGGGATATGCAGACCCCATGATATTCAATGGCGACTTTTGGTAAATATGAAGTGTATCTGAAGTCCTAAGACCGCGAAAGATGACGCATCGCCCTAACGTGGAAAACATTTCAATGTGAAAGCGAGTATCGCAGGCAGATGAATGGTTTCGGAGAGGAAAGAGCTGGGTTAGAAAGCATGTCACCTGTACGGTCAGACCTTCCCCAATGTTGCTGGACCCTGCGGTGCAGACCGTGCAGGGCTAAGGTCAGGTACGGCGCTCCACGCGAAGCGGAGATACGGATATGTTTATCCAGGCACCTCCATTCGATCGGTTATGTGGTGTCTACGTCAACTCATGATAGCACAATACAATGTCTTTGATGTGTTTATAATACATGGTAGGCAACGCATGACATTTAAAGCGCATACGAGAAAAATATTACGGCTACCTATCCACACACAATGCAAAGAAAACACAACACAATGTAATGCTAATACATATCACCTGAACCCTCGCTCGCTAAACAATGTGAAGCGAGTCTGCTGCGTTACTTCCGATGACAGGTTACTCCAAGCAATCGCGGCCCGGTAGAGATTACGACGGGGGAATTCTGACCGTACCCTGGGTAGCTGCAGCCGGCCACCCTCTGAAGCACGTGTGCGGCGGGCGGACGCGTCAGAGCGCCGGCCAGCCACGCGCGCAACAATTCGGATGAACAGGGGTCAGTGGCGAGATGCCGCATGGTGACATCACGATCGGTGAGTTTTTCCCGGATGTAGACCACCCTAGTCCTTATGGCGGTGTATTCACACTGTCACGCCAGTTATCGTCAGTCACAGTAGGGATGCCGCCTTCTTGCTTTCTGAACGCGCTGTGTTCGCGTTGGCGTGCGATTTCCCCACACGGATGT